AATTTAAAATATTTTCCTTTACCACTTGTTAACTGTAACCAACCCTTGTGCAACTGGGCCTGCTTGCCACATTCCCATAGACATAACCAAGTCTGGTATTAAACGTGGTAGAGATACTGTTATCACACATCTCTGCTGTAAAACGGCTTAAATCGGTATTCTATTATACAGTAGGTAACAGAAGAGGAAAAAGACATAGCTAGAATCAGATTCGAACCCGGGACCTCTGTACTCTAAACGGACACCCTAACTAGTTGAGTTACCTAGTCACCGACGACCGGCACTTTCGTGTTCCGCAACATTCCTTTCTCCTTTTTCTAAGTCTTTGACCCCGAAGAAAACGCTATTTACAAGCAAGATTTAGATACCCCCTCAGCAAATTTGATTCGTGACAAGGCATCGTGTTTGGAGGATTCATTTTGCTTTGAAAGATCCTGCTTTTCAATGGCAACAATTAGAAATATTCGAAAGCAACTTGATATAGGTAACCAACGTTTGAGCAACTGGGCCCAGATTTATACGGGAAAGGGACATGAAAGCCTGTTAGACGTTGTCTTTGCCTATGACTTTTTTTTTATCACAGGACCATCTAACAGAAACATACAAAGGAAAGCGATCGACCTTGAGAACAAGGTCATAAGGGATGAACTGAATGTCATTTAGGAAAAAGCGAAGGCCGATAGAATGAGGAAGTGAAAGATTTGAACCACTTCATATACATTAGATCACAATGTTTGGATCATTTTTCGACAGTCGATAAAGCTCACTAGTCTCGTTCGAAATGTAAGATATTCCAACTTAAAAGTGAGAAAACTTTATAAAGCTGTTATAACTGCAGTACAGCAATTGCCAAATGACAGAATGATGTATAAGTTCTAATTTTTGTTTGTTTCGGGTATTTGACTATGATTAAAAAATACAGCTATACACAAATTCCACATTTGATATGGCGGCGAAATATCACGGGCCTAAAAGTATTCGTATTTTATACTCATTTTTGAGTTAAAATTTATATACTTTTTATTAAATATTATTTTACCTAAATGTTACTGTTTGGTATTCTTCTAAGGGTTTGAGGCGAGACGGTTGGCGTAGCTTACCTTGTCTCTCGGTGTTGTGTGGTGTGCCGCGTCAAGGAAGGGCCGGAAGCCGTCCTGTGATGTGTTGCATGGGGCCTGGTAGGCGAGCCCTTGTAGGAACAACTCCCACAGCTGAGTGCAGTTTTTTGGTCTGAATTAGAAACAAAGGCAATGACACTGTTATATCACTGAATCAAATTTACAGTCCACAGGAGTGTTTGACAGTTGATTCATCAAATGTTTACAATAATCTTGCATACAAGGGCTGATAAGGGATATAATGGAAACACATTATCACATTGGTTAACCATTTCTTTTGCCATGTTTTTTAACTATTGCGGATGGAGGGAAGCTTCCTTTGGCTCAAATCCGTAGAACACTAGATACATAATTCACTAGTTCAGTGTTGGGGTATTGTATTGGTATTGTATTGATTTGGTGTTGGGGTATTGTATTGGTATTGAAGTGTTTTGATGTTGGGGTACTGTATTGTATTGGAATTGTATTGTGTTGTAATGGTATTCTATTGTATTGGTATAGTATTGTTTTGGTGTTGGGGTACTGTATTGGTATTGTATTGTTTTGGTGTTTGGGTATTGTATTGGTATTGTATTGTTTTGGTGTTGGGGTACTGTAGTGGTATTGTATTGTTTTGGTGTTGGGGTATTGTATTGGTATTGAAGTGTTTTGATGTTGTGGTACTGTATTGTATTGGAATTGTATTGTGTTGTAATGGTATTCTATTGTATTGGTATTGTATTGTTCTGGTGTTGGGGTACTGTATTGTATTGGAATTGTATCTTTTGTGTATTGTTATTCTATTGTTTTGGTGTTGGGGTATTGTATTGGAATTGTATTGTTTTGTATTGGTATTCTATTGTTTTGGGGTTGGGGTATTGTATTGTATTAGAAATGTATTGTGTTGTATTGGTATTGTATTGTTTTGGTGTTGGGGTACTGTATTGTATTGGAATTGTATTGTATTGTATTGGTATTGTATTGTTTTTGGTGTTGGGGTATTGTATTGTATTGAAAATGCATTGTGTTGTATTGCTATTGTATTGTTTTCGTGTTGGGGTACTGTATTGTATTGGAATTGTATTGTGTTGTATTGGTATTGTATTGTTTTGGTGTTGGGGTACTGTATTGTATTTGAATCGTATTGTGTTGTATTTGTATTGTATTGTTTTGGTGTTTGGGTATTTTATTGGTATTGTCTTGTTTTGGTGTTGGGGTATTGTATTGGTATTGTATTGTTTTGGTGTTGGGGTATTGTATTGGAATTGTATTGTTTTGTATTGGTATTGTATTGTTTTGGTGTCGGGTTATTGTATTGGTATTGTATTGTTTTGGTGTTGGGGTACTGTATTGTATTGTTTTGTATTGTGTTGTATTGGTATTCTATTGTATTGGTATTGTATTGTTTTGGTGTTGGGGTATTGCATTGTATTGAAATTGTATTGTATTGTATTGGTATTCTATTGTTTTGGTGTTTGGGTATTGTATTGGTATTCTATTGTTTTGGTGATTGGGTACTGTATTGTATTGGAATTGTATTGTATTGGTAATCTATTGTTTTGGTTTTGAATTTGTATTGTATTGGTATTTGTATTGAGTATTGTATTGTATTGGTATTTTATTGTATTGTTATGGTATTTTGTTGTTTTGGTATTAGATAGTACACATTCCTGTGTGTGCGCTCCTATATTATGAATACGTTGGTGAGTGTTTCGGTTAGTTTAAGAGGATTTTATTGCCTAATACAATAAAAACTGAGTGGGCAAAGTTTTGACAACTTAGCAACTTCCTCTCCTGAACACATGTTATTTTGATTCACACACTAGTAACTATGTAAGCAAATATAAATGATCAAATAGCATTTTGAAAACACACGGGATGGATCATGAAGAGCCAAATGTAGTTTAAATAATCATATTACAGCAGAAAGGCCTATTGGAGAGACCCCCTAACCATCACGTCAAACCTAACAGACATACTCAACATTCTGTCCTAACCACTGTCTGTTCACATGTGTCCATGACCTGCCTTCTTATGTTACTTTCGTATCCTAAGTTAAAAACTGTTCTTACGTCACCGGGGCCTCCGCCAATATTGACCTATGTTCTGTTTATTTTGTATTAATATTGTAAGGCGCTAAAAGGAATGACGATGGGGGCGGGGGCGGGGGGTCATCTTCCCTCACACAGACTGGTGATCGTTGGTGACAATTGTTGTGTAGACGAGCGCGTGCACGTGGCAATGCACTTTTGAATGTCCGTAGAGGCGTACAGGTGTGATAAATGTGTACTGTATGGGTGTCTAAATTGAGATCTGTCACTATTGTCATGTAGGATTGTCGTACAGTTAAAAAATAATGTTATGTAGGACAACAAACAAACAAAACAAAAATAAATTTAAAGATTACAAAGATATGTACAACAATATCCGGATCACTGTCAGGTATTTTTAAAAGTAACAGGTATTTGTCGATACAACTGCATAAATACACACCATAAATGCATCAGACACGCGTTAGGGGCAAACCTGTATACAGAAAACATTAACACGCGGGAACCCAATTACAATCATATGTAAGAGGGCCGATACATTGTATTTAAATTAAACATTCAATTTGTTCAAGGTTTTTTTCTGAGAAATATTATACACTGAAAATAAACCTTAAATTAAATCTTTGTTGTATTGCAATTCTCATTTACGGTAATAGTTTGGATTATGATAATGACCGCCATACCACATGTGCGTCTAGCACCTGCTGTGTGCCATACGTGTTTCCTCGTCATGCAGAGTTAATGGTACATGATCGTCTACCATAGAACTTCGCCTAACAAAGTATGATTCTGAGGCAATGAATACCAATAAGTACGGAAATGCAAAATATCAAAGAAAATTGTGTTAAATTATATGACCGATACACTTTATGTAAGCAGATCACAATAGGTAGCATTAATAGCAACATGAATAATCATTACTTAAGTATCGTTATAATAAAACTTACTCTGAGCAGAATGGTTCAGGGTTAAAGACGGTTTGGTAATGAAGACACCGTCCGACCATCAGATCCCTGAACGATTCCGTGGACCTCTGAGACAGGGCACACGTGCACTCTACGTAGGGTCCATGTTGTAGGTACAAAAAAAATATCAGAGATATCGCACACACGAAGTCCTTAGCGTTGTACTGCATGGCGACGTCGTTCCCGCTTCTGCTGTGGTAGTATGTATACCTGTCTCGGTTATAGCGAGATCACACAGTTCCGCTGTTTATATACTTATTCATATACCTACGTAACCAGGCTCGGTTAACTAAACCGGAACAACGGCGCAAAATACTATAGTTACTACGTTTAGTAGTTAATTAACTTTACGGCTCCTTTAGATGTAGATGTATATATATAGAAACTTGATGTTAATCATATAGTTGTTCAGCATTACTTTACATCGATATCGGGCGCAGATTACATTTTGCGGTCGATCGTAAATTCTTTCAAATGCAGTTGGACAAATATGCATAAGCACCCCGTCCATTTGATGTACGACTTACATGACAAGAGTCAATGATTTTTTCCCCAAATACTGATGCTTAAAAGTCAGCGATTGGAGTGACGTATTGCATTGTTCACTCCCATCCCAGATCGTGACATAAGTGTCGGACCAGCAGTCGTAGGTAAACTAACACGTGAACACGAACATGTACGTTTATGCAAACGCATACATGATATGGTGGTCATCGCCAGCCCGCCGCCACAATGTATTGTTAGCTTGACCTGTTTTAGCTTGACCTGTATTCCGTGGTATACCAATGTGTAAACATTGTCGTGTTTCTCATATAATGTATATAGAAATAAGTCAGTAGTCCGGGGTTTATTTTCTGGTCTGTCGTGTGGATGTGGATCAGTGATGACAACAAGTTTTCCCCCTGAATCCCTCTCTGTTGAAACTGAGTTTCGGTTGAAACTTGATATTGCTGTGGATAAGGTACTTCCGCTCAGAATCCTTATGAGTTCAGCGAGCACAGATTCCGTACACATGTATCTAATTAATCAAATGCTGCTGAAATCCTTGTTACTTTGGCTGTTGGTTATATATGTATAAAAATTGCGTTTATATATGAGAAAGTATTTCCCCCTACAATTTGAATTTATCACTGATATGATATATATAATTTAATGAACGTGATTGAATATAAAATCCAAAACTTTGGAATAAGTAAATATTTCATAATTCAACTTATTTAAGGTTCATAAACAAAACGTGAGCGCGAAACTCGTTAAATAGGGAATCGAAGAAGCAACCGGAACAGGACACATTCAACACAAAGCGAAAGTTACATTATTTTCTCATTTCACTCTATGTTCACGCTCAACTAGAAACTAATTCATCGCTTATGTTTTAGAATGTTAACCATTATAATAAAATTGGTCAAAACAATATCTATGAAAATTACGCCAAAGTAACGTTTATGCAGAGGACGTATAAAGGAGGCTCTATATACTGTCCCTGATGCAGAGGTGATAAGTAGGATATCTCAATGACATGATTGTATCACTATTGCTATTAGTGCACTGATCGTCACAGGCTTCAAAATTCTAACGGTCGATCCGCTTAAACAGACTCAATTTTAATTTTCATATGATGGGTTATGTAAAACAAAATAAAACGTTCAAATTCCTGTTGCACGGCATCTTTCATGTGAAAAAAAGTTGATGCATCTTTAAATTAATGTATAAACACGGACTTCGAACTATAGTTTCGCGGTATAAACTATAATATAATGAGGTGAGCATCATTTGATACAAAATACTCTGTTGCTTTTTTTTTTTTTTAATTTCTTTTAATAATAAGATAGGCCCTATATTGAAAGTCAATGCAAAATAGTATGAGAGTAAAGTTTCATTTTTTTTTTAAGTAAGTTAATTTAGAACTATTTTGGATAGAATACCAATGTATTATAACACTTCACTTTTAACACTTAAAAAGTGGAAATTGGATGTTAAAGTGGCCAGTGTAACGAGTTTATCAGACTACTCAACGCTGAACTTTTTCTAACTGGTTAATTTGACAGATGTCGTGAGGGTCCAAAACTGAAGCACTGATTTCTAGTTTAAGACCTACCAGTGTTTAAAAGCATTGTCTTTAATATGCTGAGAATTTACTTTCAGATCTCGGAACTTGATAATATTATGTAGGGGCGGGAATCTTTAAACATTAACAATAAGGTGTTCTGTTAGAGTTATCTCCCGCACTTGTTTCACCGGAAGTGAACTTCTTCTCAATGTGATTTTGTGGTTTCCACTTGCATTTCAAAAACGCTTTGACAGCTCCTAAGACGAAGCATACTTGAATACTAGTGTGTGTGTCAAGGACGCTTTACGAGTGACTGTTGGTGGCCATTAGTGAGCTGAATATGCAATCTGTCACGGACAGTGTTAAAACACTGTACAATTTTCTCCCGGCCGTCCTTCCAAAACAAATCAAAGAAGTAGAAACAGTGATAATTCGTGAGAGCACCATGGCTTTAGCAGGTAGAAACTTCGTGAGATTGGCAGGATTGTCAGGATCTGTGGCAGTATGCATGGCTGCATATGGAGCTCATGGTAAGCCTTCCTGGTATATTTTATTTAAGAGGATCTCTTAAGACTATTAACTGCTAAAAACATCCTCGGGTCTTCCGGTATAACAAGATGCCAGAATAGGGGGTTAACTTTACTACTGTAGGTCTTGAACATATTGATCTCTGTTATAACAGCCACGTTGACAACATCGTTCAAAATCACGAACATTAAAAAAAAAGACAAAACTTTCTGGTATATATATTGTCCAACAAATTTGTTTTCGAATGATGGGACAAATATTGCATCAGAAAAATAACATAAGAAAAAAACCAGACTCAACAAGTTCTGGTCTGATCACCCCTTTAAATTCAATGCTTTTTGCCACTAGCAAGTTCCTGTCCAGAACTTAAGTATTTTAACCCACTTTTTAAACCTGTAAGATTTCTGGATATCATTTCCTCCATATCAATTCACACAGGAAGTCGCATATTAGAAAAGGAATACTAAAATGTGCTGCTAGAAGCTACCTGGAGCTTTCCATTGGTGTCTATAGTGTCTACTATACTCCAACAATGTTAGAGATATTGTTGACAGGCGACGCGTCGGCAAAATCATATCCGAAAATGCCAAAAATGCCTGGTCATGATACATGAAAATGAGTCTGGCTTTTGCTACAGGTCGTTTCGTCCAATAATTTTTGCCAACATAATGTTAACTTGCGTACATTGCCTTAACTATAATTGTATTAAGTAGACCAAATGAAGTTCATTACAAAACACCTGTAGTCTGCCTTATCAATCGCAATATATAGAATTAATATACACCAATCGGAGGCATCGTTTTAATCAAACGGGAAAATGCAATGGGGCCTTACTTGACTTGAACCTAGGACCTTAAAACTATAGACAGATACTCTAACCAATGGCGTCACCTGGATATAAGCAGTCTCCAGGCCCATTACCTATACACATATACACCTCTCTCCTTATTGCCCCAAACCCCATTAAATGGGGGGGGGGGGTTCACATACATGTATAGTGTTACCTACTCATATGTNTACCTACTCGTATGTTCGTACTGTCAGGATTCATTGTCACTGCTCCACTGACTTCATATCTCTTATAGATAATAGTTTATAGAAAAGTCAAGTATGAGAATACCTGAAATGAGTTTGTATTTCAGGTTCCAAAGGTCGATGCTTATAGGTCACTGTTGCTTTTTATATGTCAACCAATGCAATTTTGTCAACAGATTCATTGACATCAGTTGACCAACTTCTGGCGCAAGGGTGCAACCATGTTTTCTAGTTCCATGTCTTTGCCCTGGAAGATGAAACTCTTAACAACCCAGGTTAATGTATCCCCTTGCCCAAGGGTGCTTTTCTGGGTTGTCTACACTGAGGCTTTCGTCAAGCACAAGTGTTTTAGCATCTCTACACTGAGGCTTTCTTCAAGCACAAGTTTTTTAGCAGGTACAAAGCCTTCTGTTTTGTCATGAATTGAATCCTTGTATTTTAAAGATAGAAACTGTTCAAAGATGAATCAGTCTAAAAGAAAAATACTTTCTGCTGTTGCCTGCTTTTTCCTTTATTGTAACCTCACCTTCTGCCCAACCCCAAAAGAACTAAGAATAACTTTACTCAACTCTGAAGTCTTCAACTTTCGATTCTATTTAAAGTTCTGTCATTTCAGGTATGAGCAAAGCAGAGGAAAAGAAGAAAAGGGTAAGAAATATGCTTCAGAAACAAATGTTCAGGTTTATATATTCATTGTTTAAATTATTTCACACGACAGATATTTATATCAATTAACTGCCTTCTGATGGCTATTTATTATAAAGATATAATTATATATATATCCTGAACTTCCAGACAACCCTTTCATCTACAAAAGATGAAAAAAATGATAATATGTAAAAGACTTTTAACAAAGTTTTGACAACAGAATTACTAATGTATTTCTATCACGGAGTACGTGGTTGGGCAATGCTAGAATTGTTGAATGCTAGCTGTGAACGCCGATATGGCAGCACCGGCTGTACGCTCCCCAGGGAGTTGAGAAGTTATTAGCTGGTTGCAAAGGCCCTATAATCATGGATAATAATTTGTGAACCGCTTTGAGACGACCTATATGTACGAACTATGTTGTGACAAAACGGTATATAAGAACATCAAATGATTATTATCATTATTATTATTATATATTTGTCATTTCAGATCTATGACATAGGTAATAACTTCCACCTGATCCATTCTGTGGCTTTGTTAGGAACGCCATTATGTAATCGACCAATATTGGTAAGTTATATAATGTTACAGCAGTATTCTGTCAGTAACATATATCCAATGACAGTTACATGTACACGGTATCTAATCAAGATGACCCGATACACACTGTATCTCCAATTACAATTAGACTTACAATCATATACTTATATAAATAGAACTTCTCATTGTGTCCAACTTATTGCAAATTTAAAGTCTAGAATTTTTCCCTTATATAACACTTTGCATATTCTTTTCATGAATCAAACTTTTATGAGGCAAATCTTTCGCCGTTTTGTAGTATAATCAAGACCCAATAATTATGAAAACATTGAAAACAAATTACAATTCGATAGGAAATATTTTCCTGTACTAAAACATTAAAATGTCCTGTGGTTATTTAACAGTACAGGCTTTGGAAATTTAATTGACAAAGAAATGTTGAATTTGATAAGATATCCAACATTTATATTTAAAATTAAATGTCTTAGCCCGTGTTTCATCACATATTTAAAGAATCACATTCTGTCCAATTTACAGGATCTCGATGTTCAATATTCCTGAGTCGATTATTATGCATGTAGTTGTAATATTTTTGCCCTCAAGTCTTCTTAAGGATCCCTGCCCCACTGTATAGTGTTTTATTCCTATACGCAGTAACCTCCCCTTAGCATATATTACTTCTGTAATTATCGTGTTGTGATCTACTTGACAGGTCGGAGGTTTGATGACTATGGGAACGCTGGTGTTTTGTGGGAGCTGTTACGTGTACTCGCTGACAGGAAATGACCGAATAAGATACGTGACACCCTACGGCGGTATGATGTTGATTGTCGCGTGGCTTCTGATGGTACTGTAATACGTACAGGTCACAGAAAGTAACAGCAGTTCACCAAGGATTGAGACAAGTGAACTAAGAAGTAAAGAGTGAATAATGTCTAACTTATTGGATTGTATATATGTGTCCACTGTCCAGTGTGTGATATGTCGTTATTGAATACGGAGACAGCATTTATTGGAGCACCTTCAGCCATTATAGCCTAGTTCTGGTTTAAAGTGTAAAATGGCACATATAATTGTATTACAAATATCATTTGGCCCCGTTGACTCCTTTAATTTGTTGAACTTTAAAAATCAGATACGTGTGTATGGATTCGTTGGTGATTCATGATCAATCATGGAATCGTCACACATACTTGCCTAGTTTACAGTATTTGTGTGTTAAATAAGAGGCCTGACAACTGTAACTACAAAAACAGTGGAGTTTTAACTTGACATTTCATTAAAAAAATACACGTATGTGTCCATATATATCGATTATAGATACTGTATCAATGGTATGATGGAGATGAGCCAGTCAAATGTTACAGCATGCTAAGTTATATTTTATTACATTCTACATATGTGTAGATATATTTCTGTCTGTATCGAGTTGTTTTGATAGATATATGTAATGCACCAAACTATGAGAACAAAGATCACATCTTATTCTTAAATTTCATTTTTGCTTGGATACAGACAGTGGAAAGAAACAGGGAGTTTCTGAGAGAATGATTTCAATAAAGAGCTTTGTATTCTTATGAGGTGACATGTACTTCTCTGTTTTTAGCTCACCTGGTCCAAAGGGGCCTGTGAGCTTACGACGTACTGCGGCGTAATTTGTCCGTCTGTCCGTCCATCCTTCAACTTTTTCTTTTGAATAACTATGTCTGAAGAACTGGAGGACCTAGGGTCACGACATTTGATCAGTAGGTAGATGGGATGGAGTGCTATAAAGTTTCCTCATTAAAATTACCTTGACCTACTTTCAAGATAACAGGGGTCAAATATGTTAAAAAAAAACCACCAAGCATATGTAAAGGACCATAAGGACTAGAGTCATAATACTTGAGTATGTTATGTAGACCAGCTCTGAAATGTTCACCATCGTGTCTCAACATAATGAACAAAATAATATGAAAAGTATTTTGGTGTACAAGAACCGGGAATCGGTGTGTCACTACCGTGCAAGAAATGACAAGAAAATACTAATATTATAAGAGTTTGTAGAACTTTTTTATTATGCAATGTTTTGTTACATATTTGAGTTCATAATTTTCAGCAGATCCTACTTTAAACAAGATAATATTATTGTACAGCATAAAACATTGTTTTGATAGTTATTTGGACAAAAAGTAAACCCTGTCGTACAGCTTTGGAGGGCGGCACTAAATAGGTCATAGCACAGGCCCCAGGGCCCTTTTTGATTAAAAAACCCCATTTCATTGGTCGTGTCTTAGGGAGCTACAAATCTAACCCAGTTATGGTTAAATTGCTTTGTGGGCAAAATCTTTTGTTTTACCTATATGTCGGTTTCATGTAACAAAAGAAACAGGTGATCGATACAGGCCCTCTGGGCCTCTTGTTTTACCAAACAAGGCAGAACACAAGTGTATCATAAATAGAAATGATCATTTGGCAGAGGGCGTTGTGACATCACAAATGAATTGTCGTCATAAAGTGAATATTGACCTAGGCCTGATGTTTTTATAAAATAGTTACAAAGCCAATATCATAAATTATTCACCGCCATGTCATTATTATTATACCAATAGGGATTTATCATCTAATATTTGTAGTTATAGAGTTTCAAACACTACAACAAACATACACAAATAAGTCTACAGTATTCTTGGATTAATGTTTAAGCTTGGTGAAGCAAATGCACCCTTCTAATAGATGTTTTGAAACTTAAAATACAGTTCACTGTATGGTTTTTTAACTAAGTATGACATTCATGGAAGTGTACAATATTTAAATTTTTTATCCTGCCTGATGTGACACTGAATTAAGACATCATCAGCAAAGAAGTAGAATCGGTCCCAAATATTGCTCAAACTACGTTTTCATAAGATTTCATTCAATTATGGTTTCTGTTTGTGATAAAAATAGGGAACTTTCATATGATGTTACATGACTAGTATTTGATAAGATTCATAACAAGTATTGAACTGCCTTATTATGATAAATATTCAACAACAAACATGGAATACAGCCCCAGATTTTCACAATGCTGATCAATATACACAATAGATTGTTGTGAATGTCTGCTATATATATATACCGTGTCTAATTATAAGCAGCAACACAATTCCTTTTCCCTGTCTGTCCACTCCCATCCATCAGTTACCTCCCTTGAGTATAGCAATTGGTTGTTTATCATGAGTTGCTGGTTATGTGTTTTGAACATATATTTTCATAAATCTCAACTCAACATTGACCTTAGTCCCACCTTTTGGAACAAAGTTTAAGTAATGCATGTAACATAACAACGTATGCTGAACACACCAGAGGGATTCACAAATACCAAGCACTTGCTACGTTTATAGGTTGTCAAGTTTATTATAAGAAATTGCTTCGATCCACATTCAAAGATCAAATAGTCAATCAAATACATCGTATGTTTAAAATCTCCAAACAACCTCCTGCGATTAACCAGGAAGCCCAAGTTTCCTAAATAAATTACCTTAAAGATGAAAAGTGGTCAAAAATGTCATAGTCTTCAAACAAATCTGGTCCCTGATCATGAAAAGTAATGATATATATAGCCTGTAGCATGCTGGGGTGGAAACAATTATAACCGGTCTAAGTAATGATATATATAGCCTGTAGCATGCTGGGGTGGAAACAATTATAACCGGTCTAAGTAATGATATATATAGCCTGTAGCATGCTGGGGTGGAAACAATTATAACCGGTCTAAGTAATGATATATATAGCCTGTAGCATGCTGGGGTGGAAACAATTATAACCGGTCTAAGTAATGATATATATAGCCTGTAGCATGCTGGGGTGGAAACAATTATAACCGGTCTAAGTAATGATATATATAGCCTGTAGCATGCTGGGGTGGAAACAATTATAACCGGTCTAAGTAATGATATATATAGCCTGTAGCATGCTGGGGTGGAAACAATTATAACCGGTCTAAGTAATGATATATATAGCCTGTAGCATGCTGGGGTGGAAACAATTATAACCGGTCTAAGTAATGATATATATAGCCTGTAGCATGCTGGGGTGGAAACAATTATAACCGGTCTAAGTAATGATATATATAGCCTGTAGCATGCTGGGGTGGAAACAATTATAACCGGTCTAAGTAATGATATATATAGCCTGTAGCATGCTGGGGTGGAAACAATTATAACCGGTCTAAGTAATGATATATATAGCCTGTAGCATGCTGGGGTGGAAACAATTATAACCGGTCTAAGTAATGATATATATAGCCTGTAGCATGCTGGGGTGGAAACAATTATAACCGGTCTAAGTAATGATATATATAGCCTGTAGCATGCTGGGGTGGAAACAATTATAACCGGTCTAAGTAATGATATATATAGCCTGTAGCATGCTGGGGTGGAAACAATTATAACCGGTCTAAGTAATGATATATATAGCCTGTAGCATGCTGGGGTGGAAACAATTATAACCGGTCTAAGTAATGATATATATAGCCTGTAGCATGCTGGGGTGGAAACAATTATAACCGGTCTAAGTAATGATATATATAGCCTGTAGCATGCTGGGGTGGAAACAATTATAACCGGTCTAAGTAATGATATATATAGCCTGTAGCATGCTGGGGTGGAAACAATTATAACCGGTCTAAGTAATGATATATATAGCCTGTAGCATGCTGGGGTGGAAACAATTATAACCGGTCTAAGTAATGATATATATAGCCTGTAGCATGCTGGGGTGGAAACAAATATAACCGGTCTAAGTAATGATATATATATAGCCTGTAGCATGCTGGGGTGGAAACAAATATAACCGGTCTAAGTAATGATATATATATAGCCTGTAGCATGCTGGGGTGGAAACAAATATAACCGGTCTAAGTAATGATATATATATAGCCTGTAGCATGCTGGGGTGGAAACAAATATAACCGGTCTAAGTAATGATATATATATAGCCTGTAGCATGCTGGGGTGGAAACAAATATAACCGGTCTAAGTAATGATATATATATAGCCTGTAGCATGCTGGGGTGGAAACAAATATAACCGGTCTAAGTAATGATATATATAGCCTGTAGCATGCTGGGGTGGAAACAAATATAACAGGTCTAAGTAATGATATATATAGCATGTAGCATGGTGGGGTGGAAACAAATATAAACGGGCTAAGTAAGGGCTTGAACCACATTCAAGGTAACGGTAATCTATTTGAAAATTAAGTAATAGGATACTGAAAAGGCCTAAACAAGTTAACAGTGTTACTGATGCATCATATGACCATTTCATTCTCTCGGGACTCGTCAGTTATACTAAAAGTCAAACAAATGAAAATGTCTAAACTGGTCCGAGGTTTGTGAAGAAATACAACAAAAGGAGAAAGACACAAAAACATTTCATAAGATTTCAAATATACAATGTATTGCTGCATCAGACAATTTATTCTAAAACTAGTAAACATACCCCGTCTCCGACAATCACACACGTACACGCATGCACAACACGCATGGATGCACGTCTTAAATGAATATAAAAAATACCTGAAAATATCATTTGTTAGTCAATAGTATATATCTGTGAAAGAAACTTGACTTATAGAACATGCCCCCGAGGATGGTATCCACTAAAACATGTAAATCCTACATACGGAGAAGGCCGATATGCTATTACCGATGAAAGAAAAGTCAACGATCGTGCAAGTCGCTACATTGGCATTGAGTTGACCATCATTGTGATACTGTTAATGCCAAGATAAGAAGCTGACGACGATTATTTTGTGGGATCTCTAATTTCAAAGTCTAAAGGATGAATTAAATTTAATTCAAATAGTTATCGAGATTTCTGTAGTTCAGGTAAAATACATCATCGGGCAATTATTTTATCGTCCCTTCTTCAATATTCATGATAAGTACCGAAGTGTTAAAAACCCTGTAACTTGAAATCGATAAAACAGAGGCGATATATGAACAAAGGACAGATTTACGTGAATTCCCTTGAACGAGAACAAGGAAAATACGACCAGGGGTGCCAAAAGGGCAAGCATCTTCTGCTTCATCGACTACACCCGTCATGTAATTCTCAGATAATTCCAAGTAATGTCATGAAATTTAGGCGAGAAATGGGATAGTGACAACGAAACAACAAGGCACTCTTAAAGCAATGTCAAAGGCATCGAACTTCCTATCACAAAAAAACCAGCATTTTTCGATGAGATCATTATAAGACTTTTACGTAGTCTTCATTAACAGGCATTTCTGGAAACCCTGTATTTTAATTTTACCGTTAATAGTTGATATCTATAATGGAATTCATAATGCTTTGGGTAAGCTCTTTAACACTTCCACCCCTATGTAACTTAAGTTAACTCTTCCATGCATTGATCTGGATGAGTCCATTTTGGTCTCCAGTGGTGAAAGTGTTAACACTAAACCAAATACAACATGTAAACAACGCAGGTTTTGAAATCAGGAATGTAATTATAAAAACGGCAAAGTTCCTGAAAAAACATCTTGCATTGCAATTATGAATGCATAAATGTATGTTAAAAAATGTATTATGAAAGTACCCTCCAGCCTATCCC